CCTTGTAGGCGAACTCGAAGCAGGGCACCTGGATGACGTTGAAGAAAGCCTGGCCCACCACCCGCGAAGCCGTGTCGTTCACCTGCTGCAGGCACTCCTTCAACCTGCCACAGGGCACAGCCAGGGTGAGGGGAGGGTTGGGATGCCCCCTGGGATGGAGGGATGCTGCAGGGCATGGCTGGGCATGGGGCCGCTCACCTGTGGTCGCAGTCACAGTGGCTGATGGTGTGCCAGCGCAGGTTGCTAGCGGGCGGTGAAGGGATGGATGACGTGCTGGCAGTGGTCATGGTCCCGGCAGCACCGGTCCGTGTCCCGGTGCTCTCCTGCAGGGAACATGTGAGGTGTGAGCAGAGCTGGGGAGCACTGCGTGCACCTGGTCTGGGGCTAGATGGGGTTGGGATCAGTGCTGGACTGGGGCTGAGCTGGGCTAGGACTGGGATCAGAATTAGTTTGGACTGAGACAGGACAGGGATCAGACTGAGACTGGACTGGCACTTGTATGGGGACAAGGCTGGCACTGGGATGGGGACTGGGGCTGCACTAGCACCACGGTGGGATAAGACTGGGACTAGGCTGGGATCAGGATGGGGACTGGGGGTGGACTAGATGATCTTTGAGGTCCCTTCCAACTCTAACCATTCTATGACTAGATTGGACCAGCACTGGGATGGGGACTGGACTTGGGTGGACCAGGACTGGACCATAACTGGGATGGGGACCAGAATGGGAGCAGGATGGACCAGAGATCAGACTGAGGACAATGATGGGACCAGTGTGGGGACCAGGATGCACTAGCCCTGTGATGGGGACTAGACAGAGATGAACTGGTGGACTGGAACTGGACCAGCACTGGGTTGGGGTCTGGACTGGGACAGGCAAGGACTGAACTAGCGCGGGGATGGGGACTGGAGCGGATCAGCACTGGGATGAGACTGGACTAGGATTGATGGGGACTGACCCAGGACTGGGCTGGGGTGGGGATGCGGTGGGATGGGATGGGATGGGATG